GAACATAATCTCGGATGCGTTTTTGCCTCGTAATAGAAACTTTGGTGCGTTTTATTATTGGAACTTGGGGAACATCAACTCCCCCAATGATCATGTTGATCACGTGTTGAGCTCCTCTTGTTCGACCTGTTTGCTGGCGTCCCTGTTTCTGAAGTGGTTTGTGGATGGCTCGCTTAGGAATTCCCGAAGGTGTCCATTGTTGAACAATCGAGCTACTTCTTCTCTTAATTATCGACAATCTTCGGTCCTATGATCGTGAGTAATGTGGTATTTGCACATCAAGCTATGATCTCTCTGGGCGGGATCGGATTGCAGTGGTCTCGGCCACTTGGTCTATTTGATACATCCTATGACTGACACTATACTTGCAGCGTCTATGTTGAAATTATACTCCGACAATCTCGGTGCTTCTCTACTCACGAGCAACCTGTCAAACACACTCTTGCTCATCAAGCCCCGACTGCTCGATCCTCGATCATTTCTCTTGTCGTTCCTTATCGGGTGGCGTCCGGATTCGTTTTCCCTCTGATCTGCATTGTATGGCTGGTATAGATATCGCACTGGCCTCTACTCCTCATCGATGTCTCTTAGACCTTTCATTGGTTATGATGGGGTAAACAGACCATGAAGGGGCCCCGAGTTGGTCGTTCTCGACTCTGATCTTCGATTGACACCTGTTATGGACGTCGGCCCAAGTGACCGCCGGGTACTCCACCAAGTTTATTTTTAGCTGTTGAGAAGCCACGGAACTTCGGTGGTTGAACCCTTGAGTAAATGCCTGAATGGCCCAATCATCCGCGACTGGGGGCAGATCCATTTGTTCCATCTGGAATCTCGACACGAACTCCCTAAGCATCTCGTTATCCCTCTGCATGACCTTGAAAATGTCTGACTTTCTCGTTTTGACCTTGACAGCGCCGGCATGGGCCATGCGCCTTTACGAAAGCATGTGCAAGCATAGAAAATGAGCCAGTAGAATTTGGAGGTAAGTTGTGATACCATATTATTTCCTTCTTGGACAAGGTTTTCCCAAATTTGTAGCAACACCGACTCAATTTCTTCGTCTTCCAGGTCATTCCCTTTGATTACGCATGTATAGGAGGTTACATGCTCATTTGGATCCGTGGTCCCATTATACTTGGGTATGTCGAGCATTCGGAACCTCTTCGGAGTCGGCTTCGGTGTCGCGTTCGGGGGAAAAGGCTTCTAAATGAAGTTTTTTTGTTCCAGCCCCTTCAATATCGGCGGTGCTCCCGGGATCTGATCGACCCTGGAGTTGTAAGATTCCACCTTCTTGTCGTTGGCCTCTATCTTTTTCTTGCCAGACTCCACCCAGTTTGTCAATGCTTCGATCATCTTTATCACATCCAAAGTTTCCCCGGGCCTGAATTCTCTCGGTTCCACGACAACTTGTTCATCCCTTCGAGTTTTTTTCTTGGTCCGCTCGGGTTCGGCCCTGTTAGAGGCTTGGCTCTGGTTCTGTAACTGCGCTGTTGCCGCTTGCTGAGCTTGCAACATTTCGAAGATCAGCCGTAGGCTCACACCATCACCTTCACCTTCGGGTGCTTCTCGAGCCGATGGTCGTGGTGCCCCGCGAACGCTGTTTTCGAGGTCAGTTGGTAGATTGATGTTGATGGCAACCTGTGAGTTAGCGTCTGTTGTGTCGGCTACTAGGGCACCATTGGGATCAATAGGGGCACATCACTGCTAGGTATTACGTTATTGTTTTCACCATGGTGGCCTGACTCAGCGTCAACGTTCAAGTGGGCAGACTAAGAAGTTGACACCCTTGGACTAACCTAGAACCAAAACTTCAAAGAACAAACGTACAACAGGGTGTGTTATGGAGATTCGTATCAAATCACCACTATTATCATTTTTCCCACGGTGGGCGCCAAACTGTTTTTCCCAAAAAATGAGTAACAACTAAATATGTACGCGGTTCAAAGGATATGTGATTAAATTCAATACGAATGATCTAAGAACAACAAGTAATTAAATTAAAGATAAAATGAAAGATCAAACCAATTGTAATGTGATGATCAAGCATGATCCTAGTTTGAACAGTAAAATTCGACCTCGATTGGACCCTCAATATAAGTTCGGTCGCGCGTAAAGAAGAGAATGACTGAAGAACACTTTGAATAATAGCTAGAAGACAAAAACAAACATTTATTGCTTTTAGTTGCGTGTTAACCATGTGTAAAAATAAAAGAAACTTTTCCCTTTATATAGTAGGGGAATTTCAGTCCTAGTACAAGTATAAATATGGTAAAAATCTTCTTCTCCCGGTAACTGTCGATCCGCAGTTGATATCGAACGGGATTCGCTCCGTAATATCTGGTTGAGGGCGAGTATTGCGGCTCCCTGCTTGTCATGCATAACCGTTTCCCACATTTCCCGTGGTCTAGAAACTTTATTTGGTTTGGGTCCGTTATTTTACCGTCCCCGATCCTAGGTACATCTTTCACTCCTCCCGAGTTTCGATACGAGTCATCTTGCTTATAGTCGCGTCAAACCGTGCTTCCCCCTTGTTTCCTTATTGGGGAATCGGGGGAAACTTTGACCCCCCCCCCCCCCCCCCCCCCC